TGTCCTCCCGCTGATTTTTTCCAGGTATTTTTTTCGTGTGCCCAACTAAGCACCCTCAAGTAGTGCCAAACAGTTGGTGGTTCCTCGTTCGGAGTGCCTACTGCTCTCTTAGAGGGGGCACTCGGTTCGGGATGTCTGTGTTGCCCGTGGGTGATGGCAGAAGCTCATCGGAGTGACAGGCCAATGCAAGCCTTAAAGCCTTTGGGTCATATTCCGAAAGAGACCAGCATCACATCGGCAGGATGATGGCTGGAGCATGGCATTGCATGCCTGGCTGATAGACAGACTGTGTTACATACTCGTGAATGTATGAACGAGTATGGGGCAGAACCAAAGATCAACCAATATAGGATGAGCATGTATGCAGCGGAAGTCTGATAAACGGACTGACTCACATAGACTGACTCACACAGATATCACTCCACACACATACAATCGTGAGATGGTGGGGTCTGAGCCATGCATAGACGATGCTCATGCCCCGTACACACATACACAGATGAAAGGTGGGAGGAGAGACAAAGGAGGTGGGGGAGGTAGACAGCACCGAAGGTCACCGAGATAGAATCCGATAGGTCACCGATATGGTAGTCCAAAATGTCATCAAACAAGATAAAAATGTCGAGGACAATAAGTCACCAATGTCGGAGATACAGAGTCCTTATGTGAACGGTGTCCGAACTGTGATGCCGCCGAGTATCAACCCCAACAATCTCCAAGTCTCGAATCCGGTAAGTACCACAGCCTCATACCACCGAAGTCCAACACTGATCTCTGTCCAACTAGTATAAGTCTCCAATCTGAAGAAGAAGAAGAAGAAGAAGAAGAAGAAGAAGAAGAAGAAGAAGAAGAAGAAGAAGAAGAAGAAGAAGAAGAAGAAGAAGTCTGAAGAAAGAAGAAGAAGAAGAAGAAAAGGGAGAGAGAGATGGCAGAGGGGAAGAAGGAGGTGAGGAGGAGGGAACGGGACCGTGGAGGGAGGAGAAGAGATCCTCGCCTCCTGGTACCTGCCCTGCTGCTGTCGAGGCGGCTATGGCCGCCGTGCAAGAAGAAGAAGAAGAAGAAAAGGGAGAGAGAGATGGCAGAGGGGAAGAAGGAGGTGAGGAGGAGGGAACGGGACCGTGGAGGGAGGAGAAGAGATCCTCGCCTCCTGGTACCTGCCCTGCTGCTGTCGAGGCGGCTATGGCCGCCGTGCTGCTGCTGGTCTCCTCGCTCGCTGCTGCTGCTGTGCTAGCTCGCGCTGCTGCTGCTGCCCTCCGCTCCTGCGCTCAAAATAGCGCTGCTGCTGCCAACCGACACGCACCGGCATAACGCTGGTGGCTCGATAACCTCGAAGTGAGGCCGGACTAGTACGAAGTACTGGTTCGAAGAAGACCGGCCTCAATGATGCGAGGCCTCGGTTGGGTCTGAATCGTCCAGATGGACGATTCAGATCCAACCGGAGAGCGGCAGCCTCAAAGGCGCCGCCAGGCCCAGAACGAAAATGTCGTTTGGCCCTGGTCCGTCGGTCTGGTTCAAGTCGTGGCCTTTCGGCCTGATAATCCGCCAAGGTCGGGCCTTAAGGCCCTAATGTGTCCCTCTAGCCCTAAGTCGGGTCCGGTAGGACCCGCGTGGCGTCGAAGATGTAACACACTCCCCCTCTTAAAAGACCGAGCTACTTGCGAGGCCGGAGTTGTCTGTCCGATACCGGGATGGGTCGGGCGTGACGAGCTGCTTCCTTGGCAAGGCGTCGCTTCTCATAGTCGGCGAAGATGAGGGGTGCAGAAGTCTGCAAGTCTGCACTAGATATCCACCGAGTGTCGTCAGGCGCACATTGCTTGAATGTGACTTTGAACTGCATTGGCTTGTTGCCATACTTGCGGTGCGTGATGACTCCGTCAACTTCCTGATGTCCGTCCATAGAAGGCGGATCCTGTGATCGACGGCCGGGGAACTCGTCGGCGGAAGGTGGCGTGTAGATGGCCAGCTTCGACGCGTGGAAGACCTGGTGCAATGTACGGTGCGGAGGAATGTTGACCACAAAGGAAGGACCTGCGGGGTCGTCTCCAACGGCAGAAGTGACTTCCCATGGTCCGAACCATTTGGGAAGGAGTTTGCGCAAAACGTCTAGCTCGAGCGCAAATTCTTTGGAGAGGACCCAAACCAGGTCTCCCTCGCGGAAAGGACATGGAAGTCGATGTCGGTTAACTTGCTGTTGCATGCGGATTTGAGCCTTTTGCATATTCGCGCGGGCTTTGATCAGCAAGTCTCGGTACTTCCGAACGGAAGCGGGAGAGCAAGGGACGTCTATGTTGGCGGCCTGTGGCAGATGGAGATCAGCGAAGATCCGTGCTTTCTCTCCACCATGATGTAGCTCGAATGGTGTGATGCAGATCGCCGGGTGCACCGAAGTGTTATAGGCGAACTCGATGTCGGGAAGTCGGTCAACCCAATCTTTTTGGTTGGGACGGATGAGTGTACGCAACATCATCTGAGCGGTCTGGTGTGCTCGCTCCGTCTGGCCATCCGTCTGTGGGTGCCGAGCCGAGCTCGGCTTCATTGTCGTACCGGACTCAGCCATAAGGGAAGTCCAAAAAGCCGACATGAAGCGAGTATCTCGGTCGCTCACTATGTCTTTCGGAACACCCTGGTTAGTTATCCAACCGGTGTGCAAGAGTCGTGCGAGCTCAGGCGCTGCAGCATGATACTTGCAAGGAAGGAARCGAGCATACTTGCTCAAACGGTCAACGACCGTGAGAATACYGTCATGGCCRTGGCGATCGCGGGGRAACGGGCCTGTCACGTCCATAGCAATGGAGAGGCRTGGTGSCCGAGGAATCGRCAAYGGTTTMWGTTCGCCGAAGGGGACTCGAGATCGACCCTTGTTACGGTGGCAAACTGCACATGACTCAATGTACCTCGTGACATCATGAAGGACGTCGGGCCAGTGAAAATGCTGGCAGAGACGTGCTAACGTGCGGTTCACGCCAAGGTGTATCGAATGTCGTGCGTCGTGGAATTCATCGAGAAGACGAGTCCGTAAGATGCGATCTTGAGGCACAACTAACAAGTCCTTTCCTCTCGTGTGCGTTAAGTTTGCTATAATCGATGCATAACCGTAGATCTTTGTTCTTCTTCCGGACGAAGAGAACAGGGGCACCGTAAGGCAAACAACTAGGGCAAATCCAACCCTTGTCGAGAAGGTCATCGAGTTGTGCGCGAAGCACCTCGAGTTCCTCTTCGGTCATGCGGTAGATACATCCACGCGGAGGGACGGCACCAGCCTCGAGAGTGATCCCGTGACGTATAGGCCAATCCGGAATCGTTCCGGTTGGAGCCTCAAAGACGTCTCTATACTTGTCCAAGAGGTGAGTGATGCGTGGGTCCGGCGGTGACGCGGCTGGTCGGTCCGGCGAGGGGAGAGCATGCAGAAATACAAGGCCCATCTCCTCGACGTCATTCCGAGCTATGGCGTCGCGAATTCTCCCAACGGAAACCACGTGACAAGTAATCGAAGTGTGAGGGGTCGCGACCGTACATGGGACTAACACTCCGTTCCGATCACGGATGTGAACGGTCCGGTCGTGAAAGTTCACCGGATGATCGACGCTACGCAACCAAGACATGCCTAGAATCATGTCGAACTTGGTGTCGAGGATGTCAAAAGACACCGGCTCGCACGCAAGTGGTGCAAAATATACCGGAACGCCATCGACGCATCGGTCAATTGACTTTTGCGTGCGGTCGTCCACGAGTGTAACTTGCCTAGGTTGCGTCTTCCTTCGAACGCGCGGGGCAAGGCATGCGCGGGCCATAAAGGCTTGGTTCATAAAGTTGCGAGACACTCCGCAATCAATCAAGGCACTACAGGTTGCCTTTCCGATTTGAATGCGGATATAGAGCAAAGGCGCATCGGTTCCGGCGTACCTTTGGGTGGCGTGCTCGCGGTCAATCTTCGCAAGATAGGAGCAGAGATCGACAACCGCTACCCTGTCGTCCGTCAATGGAGCTGGTAAACTATAGTAAGCAAATAGGAGCGTATATTTGCCATTAAGGTGTTGCAATGCGGCCTTGGCAAGGTTTTGGTCGAGGGTAGAGGCATCCAAGCGAAGTCCTCTCTCGTGAGCGGGTCAAGATCCTCAAGTCTTGACCACGCCGTCGAGTCCTCGGAAATCAGTGGCGAGCTGACCGGATCAATTGCCGACGGTGTACAAGCTGCGCATATGCAATCTAAGTGCACGTGGCTCGGCTGGTCTAATGGTGGTACCGGTTGGGCGGCATAGTCCTCGTACGTAGCACGAAAATCAGCGATTAACGCATGCTCCCCAGTAGTGACATCGATTGCTAGCAAGGCAACCGGTTCCGGCAGAGTGGGGAGAGACGTCGCCTCTCTCCTTGCGCAACTCAGTTTCCCGAGTTCGCTGGATGGGGTACACATGCCTTGCCCTTTTCGGGGCATGGCGCAGTCAAGTGAGTGACTCCATTGCACCAAAGGCAATATCCGTACCATTGACGAAGGTCATAGACTTCCTTGGTTATCTTGTATGTCGTCCATGACTGCTGCGCAGTTCCCGTCGATGCCGTCTCTTGTGTCGCCTTGTTCTTCTGAACTCTCTTGGGGCGCTTCGGCGGGAGCGCTGCTACAATTCCTCCATCACTCGAAGATGCTGCTGCAACGTGGAGATCGACTGTTTCTTCAGAAATCACGACATTGTTATGTGTCGGTCGTTGATAGCCCTGCTTAGCCACATAATGCGGCTGGGACTGCCGTTTGTTTGTGGCCTTGTCATCCGTTTGGATGACCAAGTTCGCACGATCCAGGATGGCATGGAATGAGGCGTAGTCGTACTCGTTGCCGAGTGCGGTTCGCAGTTCTGCGCACGATCGCGAGAAGAACTCGGATCGTTGGTTAGGAAAACTCAAATCGAAGTCGGGCGTGGTCACTATCTTTTGCCACTTGGTTGTCCAGTCTCGAGTTGGCATACTCCCTTGCGAGCAGGTGTACACCTCGTTCATGGCCGCCATCACGACGTTGCGGACCATGGAGCGAGTGAACCATAGTTGCTGAACTCCTTCCACGTGATGTGCGTGTGGAGTTCGGCGATGGTGCATTTCTTGGTAGCCGCCAGATGGTTCATCCATGCATGCGCTACTCCAATCAGTTGTAAGTAGAGCGCCTTCATCATGTTGTCAGCCGGGACAGTGCGGCATGATGCTTCTGTGAGGAAACTTTGCCACCATGTCAAGGCGTCCGTCTTGTTGTAGTCGTCGAACTTGCTGATGTCGAAGTGCGGCATCTTGTAATTCTTTGTAGCGGCGTCCGACCTTGTCTGCAGTTTGGTGATGCTCGTCTTGATGGCGGCCACCGTGCTGCTGATCGTGGCCGGACTAGTGAAATCACCTAGTTCGCCAATGATAGTGACGACGTGATCGATGCGCTCGTTGAGCTGCTTCGTCGCGTCTGTCGTGCAGCCTGGCGCTGCTGAGGCCTTACCCTCAATGCTGTTGATGCGTGCGAGAGTGGAGTTCAACAGTTGTTGCTGTTGCTGCTGCTGTGTTGCTGCGGCGCGGGCGGCAGCTATTAAAGCGGCCATGTCTTGCTGGTGCTTTTGTCTTTGCTGTCGTTCCGTGAGCAGGTGTGCCTGCAGCAGTTTGTTGTTCCACATTACTCCCCTCATCACGCTCATCATCAGGGTAGCCAGGTTACTTCTCTCTGCCTCCGCCTGTGTCGGATCCGCCTGCGCGTCCGTAGGCACAAAGATCATGCCTTGGAGTAGCATTGCCCACTGATTCTCATTTTGAATCACGGACTCCGTGCTGGCGGCATTCCATCTGTCTCGTGCCGCTGCGTCAGCCTCAGCAGTCTGCTGAGCTTGGGCTGCCGCCTCATTGGCCAGCCGCTGACGTTCTGCCTCTGCTGCCTCCTGCTGAGCCTTGGCGGTAGCTACGGCATCCGTGAACACCTGTGAACACCTGTAGCCGCCCAAGGTAGTCAGCCAACGGTTCAAGAGCCCCTTGGACCGGACATGCAGGAAGGACTCTGGTGGTAACGGTGGTAACCAGTACTGTCAGTGCTGTACTCGATGCCGCTGGAGTCGTCCGCTTGCTGAGTCGCTGTTGCTTATACTTGATTCGTGGAGGTACCACAGAACGGGTACGAACTGCAAGCCTGGCACTGCGTCGTGGCAGTGCCCCGGTGTCCTGTTCCGTCGACATCAGCTCTAGCTGATGTGGTACTTGAGAAGTCCCGGTGGTTACAGATTACGGGGAGGGTATGGAGAGTGGGAACAGGGGTAGAACAATCAAGCACTTAGCACACAGTCCCTGTCCCACTGATGGACTTTAGACACCTAATCAAAACAGAAAAAGATAAATTTTCCCGTAAACAACTCAAAAATTCGTAATAAGAAAATAATAACGAATTATTTAATCAATAAAGTTTAATTAATGATTAATAACGAATTAATAATTCTTAATAATAATCAATAAAACAATAATTGTAATAATGATAATTAAGGAATTTGAATTGTAACAAGATTAGGTATCCGTTGAGATCATCTGAGGTCCGGGAGTTCAACGTTATTAGTGAACTACCCAGAAGCTGCGATTCTGGGGGAACAATCACGAACAATTTGCCAAAAAAAAAAAAAAAAAAAATTCGGAAAATTTTGGGAGAAAAACACTCGAAATTCCGAAAAACGTAAAATTTCGGGAATTTCAGCCTACAAAATCCGATTTTTAAAGGCCCAAGTTCGTTTTCGGAATTTCTCAATCCAGGGAAAGAAAAAAATTTCGCGAAAATTTTGGGCCCAACCCTAATTTTCCGCGATTCCGCGCAATTTCCGGATTTACGGTTCCAAAACATTCGAATTTCCCAAGTTGATCAAAAAAACAAAAATTTTCGTAACCCTAATTTCCAATACTGCAATAAAACGGAAATGCCGATTTAGGAAACGAAATACAGTATTAAGATCAGAATGCTGAATTATAAAAACGGAAACCCGAATTGAAATGAGAATGCCGAATTAAACAGAGTACTGATTTAAACCTAATCACGAATTAATAATCAGAAATCCGAATTAAACAGAATGTCGGATTACCCAGAATGCACTTAATCGGAATCCTAAGTAACCAGAATACCGGATTAAAGCAGAAATCCGAAGAAAAAGTCCGAATAACGAATTGAAACGGAATGCCGATTGAAACAGAATACCGAAAAAGAAAAAAATTGCATCTTTGAATCTCGATAGTAATACAGAGCTGATTGGGAAGATTGAAGAAGCAAACTATTCCTAATCAGACTTACCTTGTGAGCAGATCCGTGAAATGGTCTGCTCCGATACCAAAGACACCGCCAGGCCCAGATCTCAATGGAGTGGTGACGGCCGAGATCTCAAGTGATTGGTGACTACTGAGTCGGTACTCAGCGAGTGATCAGTGAGTGATCATTGAGTGATCCGTGAGTGATCAGATCTCAAATGATTACGACTACTCAGATCTCGAGTAATTAGTGAGTCAGACTGGTCAGTGAGTGATCAGCGAGTATCTATCAGTGACAGACACTGACGGCGCATCTCGGAAGTGATTGGTGACTACTGAGATCTCAAGTTATTGGTGAATGGGAGCGATCACTGACAGATGTGTGACGGCTCAGATCTCAAGCGATTGCGACTGCTCACATCTCGAGTGGCTTGCGAGGTTCTGACTGCTCAGATCTTAAGCGATTGGTGAGTGGTCCGTGAGAAATCGTTGATTGTTCACTGAGTTATCAGCGCGTGATTCTTGACTGATCAGATCTCAATTGATTGATGACTGACTGATTGCAGTGATTGGTGACTGTTCAGAGCTCATGTGAATCTGATAGTTGACGAAGTAAGTAAAAGGACCGACTAGAGAAGGGGGTGGCTTTCCACGAAAGCCTGTTTTTTTTTTTTTCTGTTCGAGTTTGATCTGAGGGACAGCTGTCGACGCAGAAGTCGTACATTTTTACGTACTATGACACTGCTGTTAACTGCAAAGAAGGCCAAGTATGCGGCTGTATGCCACAATGTATATCTGTCTTTAGGGCAAAGTATGCTACAGAATTTACATCTGTATTTGGGGCAATTTACATCTGTATTTGGGGCAATTCCCAGTCTCGATACAGCGGTAATGATCAAGCATTCTTTTTGCGGGAAGACGGTACTATGCAGCCGTTTGGTAATTATACCGAACTCAAGTTCGAGATCAGCTTGAGCAGGGCGGTCAAGACAAGACCCCTCTAATCTTTTTTGTTAACCTTGGTCTTGGCAGTCAAGGGGGGTCACATTAAAACCCCTCAATTTCCTCAAACTTTTTTGTTAACCCTGGTTTTGGCAGTGGAGCGTGGTCACGATAACCCCCCTTAAACTTTTTTGTTAACCCTGGTTTTGGCTGTGGAGGGCGGCCACGGGGTACAATCCTTACGAGGAGAAGTCCTAAGGCTTAAGAGTGCTGGATCATATCATGGGAGATGGATTTCTCCGGGCATATGATCACACTGGCACTTTGTCTGAATGTATCTCACTCCCATTACGGCTTGACCTGGATGAATCTGACTGCAATCACGTCCAGAGCTAAGTCAAAAAGTCCTAGTGTCAGTCAGTACACCCTGGGTCTATCTTCCACAATTCTTGTCTGGTTTCCCATCCTATGGAAAAAGGACTACGAAGTACGAGTACGTTGTGAGCAGCAGCTGCCAGCTGGTATGCGAGTATCGTCTATTTTGTGCTGATTGGTTTGATTGATCTCCTGCTGTCTGACTGCGACCATCGATCTTGGGTCTTGATATTTGGTTGTCGACCCAGGACCGCTGATCTTGCCATGGATTCGTTTTTTTTGGCTGTTGAGTTTATGTGTGGTGTAGATTCTGTAGAAGGATTCGCACATTCTTGCACACTCTCGCAGGGTGGTGATTCTGGTGAAGGCTTCAGCTGTTGACTTCCTTCTTTTGTTTTATGAAGAGCTTCAGGTGTCGATTTGACTGAACATTCGCCAGTTAGTTTGGTGGTGGGTTTGGAGACCGATTCTGATTCAGTCCAATCTGTTGGCTGTTACCGTCTTTCCCCGAACATAACACACCCTAAAAATGAATGTATACGAGTTATACTTCCGGCCAGATACAGCCAAAATGAGGGTGCGTTGTGTTCGGGGGAAGATGGTGGTATGGAAATAATAGTGGCCTTCCATTTGGGAGTAGAGTCCAGTCTGTGGTGTCAATTCTTCACTGCCCAAGTAGCACCTCTCTCTCTCTGAGTCTCTCTGAGTCTCTCTCTCTCTCTCTCTCTCTCTCTCTCTCTCTCTCTCTCTCTCTCTCTCTCTCTCTCTCTCTCTCTCTCTCTCTCTCTCTCT